TCACTTTAGTACCTAAAATTAAATTAAGTAACTTTAAGTTTAACCTTAATACTTTACATTTTAACTATATATCTACGATCTATGTTGTATATTTGTACTGGTTAAAGAAAAACGAATCGATCAGTTGTCCAATCTAGTATTATTCACTTAGTTATGTATTTAATATTAAATGCATATGCATATATATCGAAGTTTACTTGATTTATTCATTTTAATGTAAAACGTGAAAATACTGGTTCAGTGGTTGCAAAACAGATATTGCTGTACTAGCTGAAACAATGTAGTTAGTTTTTAGTCCAAAAAGCAGAATCGTATAGTTATGTTTTTGGCCACATTGAACTTGAAGTCAACATGCTGTCCAAGAAAGTGCTAAGTTACTGTCAAGAAAACCATCATGACCCTCTCCCATTTCTTTGCTGCTGGCCCATGAGCAAATGAAAATAAAGTGTTTAAATGAAATAGTGACAAAACTATATGACCAGTTATAGTATAGAGCTAATGAGAAGTACTTAGATGGAGATGACTTAAAAACATTTTGAAGTCAATTTAGTAGAGGTATGATTTCAATATTCCTAAAAGTTTAAACGACTAAATTCATAAAAAAATCCTCAACTGATATTTGGGGATTTAAGTCTGTATTCTCTCATCCTGTTGTCTTCAGAATACAGCACAAAGAAATCAGGGTCCTTTGTCCTATTGATTCCTGTGAAGAATTTTTCAAGGAGAGCAAATACCAGATACAATATAAAAGGATCCCGAAACAAGTCTAGTTTATGCATTTTGGAGGTTCTAGAGGTTATGAAAATTAATCGATGAACAGGAGTATCATTTTTTCTCTATATCACCTTGCATTCTTACTTGTTAGACTTAAACATCATCAGTTCATAGGCATATAATAAGCACAAATGCCTTTGTAACTCATCAGAATTTTTTGTGTATAACAGACTTGTACTAAAAGCTTTCTACATTTTGTTTAGATACATGTAATAAATTCAGAACTAAAGTCAATATTCTGCCTCCAATATGGAGTTGGTGCAATGAATCAAGCCACTGCATATTTTGTTAAAGAGGAAATTTTAAATGTTGCATCCATAGCTTATTCTGATGATACATAGGTGATGGCAAAATATTATGGTGACTGAATTCTTATTTATTGAATGTTACTTTTAAGTTTATCATATTCAAACAATGTGCTTAAATAAATTATCTTTTCAAAAGAAGTTGTATTTGTTACATAAAAATTATCTTGACCAAGAGTGTTGTCAGCAAAAATATTGTTACCTAACTGAAACGGTGACAACATTCTGAAAGGTGAGGTCCAGGGTTCACAAGTAAATCTTGGTCAGTTTTTGCTGTGTTTTTTTACAATTTACAGCGGGAAGCAATGACTTGTAGTCAGCAAATATAGCATCAAATGAACCATGTTAATAAATATCAAAACCAAGTAGATATATAAGATGGAACTCTCTGATCAACTATTAAAAGATGAAATTCTTAGATCAAAATAAGTTTTATTATTTTTTAAAACAGTGTCTTACAACAAAACATTGGATATTTGCTAGCTACACAATGATGGAAGTACTGAATCAAATTATATGCATTTTTTTAAAGCCTAAACTAAATCCTATGTAACAAGTTTGCTTGAAACATCATGCAACTTGGTTAAGTATCAGCACCATGAGAAGAAGGAAAAAAAGTGGGGAATGTCAATGAAACCCCTCCATTCTCCACAATTAAGATTCTTGTTCAAAACTATCATTCACAGCAACTGTTCCAGAAAGTAAGTTTATTAGAAGCTAGTTCTTGAATGGAGAGCTTAACCTGTTGCTGATAAGTTTTCTGAAACTAGAAATATGTACATTTTACAAGAGAATAGTACAGCGAATTCACCACATTATGAATTTTGTAATAATTTAGCACACACAAGTAATGTATAATATATTCCTCCACACTTTTGTAAACGGTACATATTTGTGTGTTGTGGTTAATAATAAAAAATATTTGTAACATTGGATAACATAAAAAAAGCAATCTACCCAAAGAAAGTGAAGAAAATATGTTTCATTAGAATTGTTGTAGGCATATGTTATTCTGCTAATACTTAACATTTATGTTATCTGTTTTTACATTATGTGCATGTATGTTATTGTTGCAGGGATAGGGTTTGGCAGCATATTGACTTTCTGGTTATTTTTAGTGTTTTTTTGTTGTTTTTTTCATATAAATACACACTACTACATACGGTATTGTACAATGAAATATGCAGTTTTGATTTTTTTACAGTTTATTTTTCAGTTTGCCCAGTTAGTTACAGTATTAGTGAATGCAGATGAATGAAAAGCATTGTGTGACTATCAGCTTTTGTAGAATAAAGTTTTAAGAAAAAAAATATAAATTTAGGAACTTGAACAGTTTGTATTAATCTTTTGTTTCACACAGTATCCACAGTCTCAAAAATCATACAGCTTGCATTTGGCTACAGAATTTTCATGTTTGGCTCCAGCTTTTCAAACTAGATTAGCCAAATTGCTACAAAATAGACCTTGCCTAAATGCTAACACAAAGCAGTTTTCTGTAAAGCTGTATCTAACTTAATGTAAGTAAACTGTATCTTTCTAAGCCTCTTGAAAGTTGCAAAAAACTCGCATTTTCAAACGTAACTAGTCTTTGCACCTATCACATCTTATAAGTCTACTCAATTAATAATTGTATATTTAACTAAAACAAAGCTACTTCAGTTTTTAAATTCATTTAAATGTAAAATCCTCTATTATCTAGTACTGATATTAATTACTATTATAGTATTACAGCTTATAACTACTGATTTAAATTTTCTAGTGTATTAATTTCTTGAAAGCCACCAAATAGTAGAAATGAACATTTCATCTCTTAAGAACGTTCTTTTTACTTTGCTAACACTTGTGATATTCCTATTTTTAATCCAGTATTTTATACTTTTAGTTCCTTATAAACTATTACAACCTGAAAATAACTGCAGATTTTAAGCTTAATGATCTAGTATTATAAATAACGTAACTTATGGTTTATTTGTACCTGCAGATACCTAAGTGTCCAATTCTAACTAAACTACACATAAAATAAACCTTAATAATAACAATATAATTCTTGTCTTCTCCAGAAAAATAATACAAGCTACAAATAAAAGTACTTCTGATTTCTATATTTCAGAGCTCTGAAATATTACATCTGTAACTTCAGTTCCCTTGATAAAAAATGTAATCCATAAGATTATCTAACGGAATTCTAAAATAATTTAAGCTACAAGTATATGCACTACATAATCTAGCAATTCATCCCACAGGTTAATAGCAAGGAAGGAAATTTTATATAATAACCATCCTGATGTAGGCTTAAATAGTTTATACTTGTGTCCTCTGATATGAAAGATTTTTTAAAATTTTATTTCTAATAATATCCTTTAATTACTCCACTAAATTACATAGTTTATCAAAACCCCTAATATTTTGAATATCTAAATTAGGTTGTACATAGTTTTTCTATGCTCCAGAAAGAAATTCATATCTGTGAATTTGCTCTGGCACGACAATTATTAATGTATAGGTGAATAATAGAAAAAGTTTGTTTGTCTGTTTTTAAAATATATTGTTTAATATTTTTTTCTTTTAGCTCAATATAGCATACCCAGTTACTGGTTGTCAGAAGCTCATTGAATTTGACGATGAGCGTAAACTACGCATTTTCTATGAAAAACGTATGGGCCAGGAGGTTGAGGCTGATGCTTTAGGTGATGAATGGAAGGTAATTAAGCCAATTTTGTTACTTAGCGTATTAAAGTTTGAACTAAAAAGTACAACATCACTGTTAACTATGTTACAATTTTTGAAGTGTTAAATTCATGAAAATATCACAGTAGTTATATGCTCATTTCAGTTGCTTTAATAATTTCTGAAATGGTCTTACCTCCTTTCACACAAATTTATCTCAATCCTTGTTTGCCCTCTCTATGCATTGCTAACACACCAGTCTTTATACCCCATCAGTTTTGTGCCATTCCTGAACATGCACATATCACGTGACTGCTTTCCACCAATAGTATTACACCAACTATGACTTTGTTTAGACATATGTTTAAATTTTCCAAGTGTGACTATGATTTTTTTCCCATTTTGTGTTACTTTCCTGTTTCCTGGGCGAAGGACATACCTGTTCCAGAAGTAGTGCTATACTCCATTGGCGTGCTTCATTTTCATCTCGTAGCACACCCATTCATTCTCAGGTGTTGCTTTCCCCTTGGTTTGATAATTGTATGCCTAACTCAGCCATTCCTTTCCAGTTTTGGATTCTAGCTTTGTGTTTTGGAAATTAACACTTTCTTACATGAAAATGTATTTCCGATAGGTACTTACCTCATTTCACAAACTTTCCACTGCCGGTGTTTTTATGTTAATACCTGTCAATTCTCAAAAGCGAGGATTGAGTGGGAATAGCAGAGGAGCTAGCTGCACCATCATAGATGGCACAGTACTATTCATGGACAGTAGTCACATGATATTTGCATTTTCAGAAATGGCACAAAATTGATGGGATATAAAGACTGGTGTGCTGGCAGCAAACATTTTTTTAGCAATGTATAGAGGTGAATAAAGATCAAGATAGCTTTGTGTGTGTGAGAGAGGAGGTAAGTACATTTTCAGCGTTAACTTTTATTTACTACGTTGATTTTCCTATCTCTTACATGGACTTTGCTATCTATTTTTTATAAAGTGTGACACATATGATCACCTAGAAATATCACCTAAAATCTTTAATTTTCAATTGTTGTAATAATATAGTTCGCAGTTTTTGCTTTTGGGATTTAAATCTTTTACTCATCTTCCTATTTTAAAGTTTGAAACATTTTTGCAATATCTATACCATTCTATAATACTACAGTTCACAGTTGTAATATCTATACCAATTTATAATACTATAGTCCACAGTTGTAATATCTGTACCATTCTATAATACTATAGTCCACAGTTGTAATATCTATACCATTCTATAATACTATAGTTCACATTTGTAATATCTTTACCATTCTATAATGCTATAGTTCACAGTTGTAATATCTATACCATTCTATAATACTATAGTTCACAGTTGTAATATCTATACCATTCTATAATACTATAGTCCACAGTTGTAATATCTATACCATTCTGCTATTTTAGATTATGATACTTAATTTGTTTCTTATGTTGATATTGTTAACAAAATAATTTGTGACAGTTGGCTTGATATCTTATAGTCTTACTACTGCATTCATCATACATTTGTAACCATATTATAACTTAGTTTAATTGCTTGATGTAATATCCAATCCCCACAATGTTTTGTATCAAGTCTTTCTTGTAATCACAGTTTGTTTGTTTTTTCAGCAGGGACATTTTAAGTTCTGTTTTGTTTACCATGGCTGGGTTTTATGCTTTCCATAATTTGAGGTTGTTTTTTTTTACTGTCCCTCAGTTCTGCCATTCTTTGTTCTCTCACATACCTCCTAAAGGTCAAAACTGTATTTAACCTCTGCACTTTGTGTAGATTTCAATTTTGGTTCTTGTATGATTAGAAGTGTATCAGTGTGTTGAAAAGATAGTTGGGATGGGTTACTATAATGGTATCTGCCTTGTGTGATTAAAACTATTTTGAGATGCCTAAAAGTTTTAGGATTGTTTTCATTATACCATGGGTTCCCAAACTTGCAACCCACCTGACTAACCAGACAATTTTCTGGAATGCATGCTCGGTTGATTCTATAGTAATCTAATATATACCAGTAAAGTCTGCTTCATTTCTTCAAAAGCATTTTGGGATTATTATTTTATGAATAATTTAAAAATAACAAAAGGGAATCCTCAATAGCCATGACACTTGAAATTCCTTTAGGCAGGACTAGAGTAAATTAATCTCTGATACTTTTTTTTTCATTTTTATTAGCTGTATTTTTTGTGTCAGCAATACCAACCATTTGATTTTGTTACTCATCAGGATCTCTACCAGTCTACCCTAAAATTGAAATTCTTTAAGGCAGGATCAGAGTAAATCGATCTTATACCTGGGGCGTGGTCAAATACATCAATCAGAAGGGTTTGACTTCCTGAATCTAAAACTGTAATTAGATCTCAAATTGGTCAAGAAATGATGGAGCTATGAGCTAAAAGTTTCTACTTGAGAAAAAACAAACTCGGGGCCATTCTATGAGCTGCTATGCATGGCTAAAAATATATTTTACTGTGTCTTGTTCTGTGATCCACTGCAATATACTTTATGAGACCTGCTATTTAGCATCTGCTGTATTAGACCATTAAAAATGGGGAGGATACTTGATTCAGGTTTATGCTCTGGAAGCTCAGATGCTAACTCACTGTTCATCAAAATTAACTAATTAAGAATAATGAATTTGTGGAATGGTTTGCTTGCTTTTGTGGTGTATTCTGTTAAGCTGAAATATCTTAGTTTTTTTCATTGGTTATGTGGATGTTAAAGCTACTTTTAATTTAGCATGATCTTTTGGTTGTTTTTTTTGGGGGGGGTAAGTGTTTGACTTTAAAATTCTAAATAGTGTCCACTGACCTTTTTCTTATGATTTTCAAAAGATTTTCTTTGTTCGCTAATTAAATTGCCATTTTTGCATAATAGGTGGCTATTATTTTGCAATAAGAATATTCTTTGAGACCTCACCATTATTACAATAACTTTTTAACTTTGGAATGCAATTTCTGTAAATAGATCCAATGCTTTTCCTAGATTTTTTATTTTCATCACATTCTTTAGAGAAATCCTCAACCATTATTGAATATTATTTCCCCTTTCCCTATTACCAGTGCACCAATTTACTCAAGAAGTATACAGCTTTAACTTCTCAAAATTAAATCTACCTACCATATTTTGACTAGTTCCAAATTCTTATGAATAAAAAAAGTGAAATCGAACAAAATTATTGTAATCTAGAATATGGTTTTAAGGTTATAAAATCTTTCCTCACTAAGACACATTGTCCTAACTACAACAGTTGTTGTTAGAGATAAAACTTTGTCAATAAAAACAAAAAATGTCTGTTCTTTTCAATTGTATAATCCATTATTGCTTCCCCTTCAGCAGAAACTCCATAGAGATAAAAATAAAGAAATAAAAGGTTAGCTTGGTGATATGTTGCTAGAACAACTACAGCACTGATTTTTTTAAAGTTTGTTAAACATTGCTTTATCATTTTATTGTGAATTTAAATTATGATGTTGCATTATGGTAAGAAAAGAAATATTTTTCTTGGAACAAGATAAGGTAGGTTTAGTTAGATCATTTTACAGTCATCAGTACCAAATTTCATTAAGCCAATAAGGACACTGTTTGTTAGGACTAACTGTTTAAATGGACGTAGAAAATCACTGAAAAGAAATGTAAATGAGTTTAAAACTTATTACACTTACGAAGCATTTTGATTAAGAATTTTTAAAAAGTTGGCTTGCTTATAATTTTAGTGTGGTAATAATGTTATTTTTTTAATTGGATGTCAGAGATTGTAAAAACAATGAAACTAAAAATTTAGTTTTATAGAATAAAACCTTTGTTGAAAAGTTTTACATAAATATCAGTAATTGAAACAGGTCTTATTTCATAAAAGTATAATAGTTTTTTTTGCCTTTTCAAAACTATTAACTCCTCTAAACATCACGTGTAAAGATAAGATATTTTACAAACTTTCTACAGATTATGCAGAAAGTTTGTCTCAAATATGACACAGTTTCTTTTACAGAGGTTGAGTATGTCATATTAATGATTTTGGAGCTTCACCATGTCCTGACGTGTTCTGTCTGACATTCATACAACTTTATAATAGTCCCACAGCATAGTTTCTATTGCAAAAGGTTGGCATGTTTCAACAGTTTGATCACACAGAATCCATAGGCACTGCATCTAATGACTTGTCTGATATGTCTGTGTAGTTAACATGAATTTCCATTTCATTCTCTAGCATTTTGTATGCTTGTAAATTGTATCGTTTTTCCAGATGGAGATCCTTGATTGTTTTAGCTGCTGCTGTTTGGGGTAATGTGTGAGTGGTTTTTATCACTGATCTCTGTGTTCAGGAACTCTCACCTTTGCAAGGTACCATGCAAAAAGCTGATGAATATTAACCCTTTCAAGATGGGTCACGGGTGAAAGGCCATGTCAGCTTGTT